ATACACATCATACATGCGATCGGATACGTTGCAACTTGCATTTATCGAAGTCCACTATAATTTTTGTCCCAGGAAACAAGTATTTGTGACTGTAGTGCTTACCAACTTTTGCGCAACATGAATACAAATTTACGCAAAAACGAAACAGTTAACCAGCTGTTTGTTTTTCATTCTTTTATATTACGATGAACTGTTAGCACTTTTACGCGTAAACAAATTCAAGTCTTCTTTTCTTCTTTTTAGAAAGAAGCGAACAACAATTTTTTTCTTCACCAAGTACACTGCGGTTTTCTGAATCTGTTTGTACCTTAAATTTGTCATGTATTAATAGTGTAAAAAGAAGCATTTTGCTGCTCTAGCTAGTTTTAATGACAAATCAATTAGTTCGTCGGCCAACGAACCAGCCAGCGAATCATTCACGTTTGATGGCGCTGATAACAGGTGAAAGGCGAAACTGAAAAGTGGTGTAGCTTTTATACTCTTGATTCTGAATTTGATTGTTTCTCATCAAAAACAAAGAAACATCCAAAAAAAAAGAAAACATTTTTTTCATTCTCTACCATTATTTTTCAATTATTTTATCATCTTGCTGTGGAGGGGTCAAAGGCTAAAAAAGAGGTCTTGTTTTTAGGATGAAAAAGAGACGCCTTGAACCCGTCTCCATGTCATTTATGAGGATCCACTTCTCCTGTCACTCTGTTGTCAATTGTTGCAGTACGGCAACATAAAACTTTTTATTTAGTAGATAAAGTGTTGGTAGATCTAAACATAAATATACTTTTAAAATGAAAACAAGAAGAACAGATTTACAATTTATCGCTGCTGTATAATTTTTATCAGCTTTTCTGAACACCATAATTCTTTTTAAAGTATTCCACTTTTTTTTAATCTGAAAATTTTGTACCAATTGCCTCTCCAAAGTTAACGACAAATAGGCTCAAGTCTCAAAGAAAATTTATGAATGAATTTTAAGCAAGTATAAACAAATAAGCTGTAAATAGGAATAATGCTGTAAATCAGTCTGATAATTACAGTACCGGTCTCTGATATTTAGCAAAGCTTTATCAGTCTAATTGTAATAACACTTTTAGTGAATTTCAATAATTTTAGTTGAAAAATCATATGGATTAAAGAGCAGACAAGTGTATTGAT